TCCAAGAGTATCATTAAATATTCCCCACAACAAACAATCCTTATTTGGAGAACAATTTTAGCACCACTATTAACATTTTTACTGCAATGTGAACAACACCGGGAATGATACTTGGCACAAAGTGCTTTCCATTCAATACCCAGCTTACTTTCTTGAACAATGTCTTCTAAATTCTTAACACGCATACGCACGCGCACACACACACGCACGCTCACACGCACACAGCCAGCTCTTTCCTGTTTGTTCCCGTGAACATGATCTAGTTAGTGCCCAAAAAGGTGGGGTGTTTCAGGCAAGAGGAGGTTATATATAGGTACTGATGATAGGGCTGTATATAACAAATCCTTTTTTTTGTTTTTTTTTTAATATTATGGTCATAGTCTTTTCAGCATTGTATGTTCACATGCATTAAAGAAATAAAGTAAGCATACTAGTTATCATGGCATATATCAAGATTAATAATTAAAACTGTACAGCTATCAAATTTCACACACTATAAATAATGCTACACAGCTTGGAAAAGTTTCCTTTTCTATAAAAGAAAGAGCTGGGCTATCTGGGTTCCCCTAGAACACAAAGATGATTTGGACTCCAATTTCTGACTTTCTGACAGTCTTAGCCTCTCATTTTCTTCCCTTTAGCTCTCATGCTGTTCTTCTATCAAGGGTATGGCAATATAGTAAAAATAAGCATAAAAATCTACAAACCAAAATAAAAACAAGCTTCATTAGCATTAATGGCTTGGAAGGAGAGAAGTATTTTGGAAAACACCTGCAAAGTACAAAAATTTGGTTGGCACATACAGGATTTGCTCTGTTCTTACACAATAAAGTAAGTTTTGGGTTAAAAAAAAAGTTGTTCTTCAATGCAGAGTAGATTATCTGACCTCTATGAAAAGGCAGAAATTTTTTTCTCTCCTAGTATTTAAAGTACCACTGTTCGTCATTCTTAAATAATATACTGAACAAGCTCAGAGCAGAATAAATCAGCACAAAGTAATAATACCTCTCCCAGGAAAAAGATTCCATATACACTGGGTCCTCGTTCTGGAATGAGAACAATCCTGTTCTAGCAGTTTTTTTGGTTTTTTTTACAAAACGTTGCTAAGATACTCCCAAGTTTTTGGCAACAAACTTCCAATCAAGACTACTTGAGATTCTCAGGCAGAGAAACCCCAGAGGTGGCCCAGGTGTAGGTCTGCTAGTGTGAGACTTGACTCCCGTGGTTATCAACATCTCCAGGCTAACTATAGGGAAACAAGTATGAAGACTTTTCCTCCTCACCGCTTTTAAATACTATATTCACTCTCTATTGCTGCATAACAAATCACCACGAATTCAGAGGCTTAAAACAATACCTATTTATTATCTCACAGTTCTGCAGGCCAGAAGTCAGGGCGGGCTTGGTTCGAGTCCTCTGCATAGGATCTCACGAGGCTGGAGTCACGGTGTTGGCGGGGCTGGGCTCTCATCTGCTGGAGAAGACTATAGTTGCAAGCTCCCTCAGTTTGTTGACTGATCGAGTTCCTGTGGCTGTAGGGCTGGAGTTCTGGGTCCCGTGGCTGTCGGCGGAGGCCTCTCTCAGCTCCTGACAAGCAACTGCATTTCTTCTCCTGGGGCCCCTCCATCTTAAATCAGCAGTGGTGCCTCGAGTCCTTCTGCTTTGAATCTGACTTATGCTACCAGCCTGAGAAAACTCTACTTTTAAAGGGCTCACAGGGTTAGATTAGCTGAACATGATTATGGGTGAGATTCATGGCTTCCGCCCACACGCAAAAGGGGAGGATCTCATCTACGGTACCTGAAGGTCACCTGGAGAATGCTGGCTACTACAAATAGACAATGCCATTGATGAGAGCAATCACTCCAAACGTGCTGTTTCTGTATTAACCAAACTTGCCTTTGAGGACAGCACTGTTGGGAGACCACCTTTTGGTGACCATAACATCAAAAAGAAGCCTTCAGAACGTTGCTGAAGGTTTTGAAATAAGGACACCTTCTGATCACTTACTGGTGCAACCCCTGATCTGAAAAGCTGTACCTTTTCCAAAGACCTCTCCGTGGCTGAATTAATATACACACACGTGACTACAGCCTGCCTGCCAAATTATCCACGCACACTTTTTCCAAAAGCTTTTCAATCTCACTGCCTGAAACCACTGTTCTTGTTTGACGACACGGTAGGACCCCGTGCGTGAGTAAAGAGCACATGAGACTTAGAGAACTCAGAAATCTGGGGTCTTAGAATCCCAGAAACAGTCCTCAACCTTCTCACCTACAATACTCATCATCTGCACTGTGATAGATTGTGCATGTCTGCTTTTATCCTCCTCGTCAGAATTCATTACTCTGGTTTCGCCATTGTCCACATTAGCACTCCTTACACAGTGCTGTCCCAACAGAACCTTCTGCAATGACAGAATGTTCTCTATCTGTGCACTCCAGTCCGGGGGCCACGAGCCACATGTGGCTGATGAGCACTTGAACTGTAGCTAGTGTGACTAAGGAGGTGAAGGTTTTATTAATTTAAACTTAAACAGCCACCATGTGTCTACTAGCTACTGTACAGGACAGCATGGCTCTAGAGTTGACAGTTTAAGTGAAATACATAACCAGATGCAAAGCAGGTTTCATTTATCTCTATATATTACTAATTAAATACTGGACACCACTGGACACTGTCCCCACTCCCTATTCTGGTAAAAGTGGTTCAGTGTCTCTCAAGGCCAAGTATATCCTTCCCTCAGTCCCAGGTACTCTTCACCTCCTCTACCGTTCTGTCCCCAGACTTCACCCCCCAACTACTCTCAAGGGCTACCCCTACAGTGTCTTGCTTGAGGAAAGCATGGCTGTTTCTAATGGTCTAGAGAGGAAGTGGGGGCAGGGAGAGACCAACAACGAGATGATTGGGGAGCACCTGCTGCCCCAGGAGACAGATAGGAATGATGAGTTACAGGCCTACCCCAGGAGCCTGAAGCCTGGTTGGTGGGAGAATGTGCGCACACACATACGCACACACTCGCCAGGAACAACCAAAAACTCGACAGCTGAGCGTGTACATAAATGTGTGGCGAGGAACATAGGGAGTTAAAAAGAAAGAGGAGGGTGGGCTGGGCCAGTTGGTCCCCTCGTCCAGCCCCGGACTGGGCACCTGCCACGTGCCAGGCACTATTCCTGGCACGACTAGGCACTGGTTAACACTTCATGGGAGGAGTGCACGAGAGAGTCTGTGAAAGGTGGGTGAGATTTGGCTCAAAGTTCAAACTATTCTCAGGAACTGGAGGGGAGAGCTAAGCCTGGGAGGGGAGACCGAGCACAGGAAGAAGAGAACAGGAAGAAGCTGGCTAGTACGGCTCACCGGTCTAAAGACTGAGTATCCCTCACTAAAGGCGAGGAGGTAACGGTCACCTCCCTGATCTTCAGCGCATGGTCCTTCTCCCCCAAATCAGACTGGGCTACTGTGGAAGGGAAATGAGAGGCCTTCTCAACCCACCCCAGAGCTTTCCCTCCTGACACTTGGCTGGTGAGCAGTCAGTTAGCATGTTCAACAGCTGCCAAAGTTTTATAATGAAAGGTTATTCTTTTCAAATGAAATGGGCCTGTGGGCATCAGGCCAGGGAAATGTGAGGACAAAATAAAAAGTAAATTAAAGAAAGTGAAAAGTAAATCTAAAAAACCCAGTAAAAATGTTTCACTGGACTTGGACATAAAAATTATTCATGGCAATGTGTAACTTTTTAATCAAGGAAAGTAACTGATGATTCCAGTAGGAGTAATGAAAAGAACTGTACCCTATCCATGTTTCCCAACATTTTTCACTCCGTCACACTGTACAGAAAACAAGGCTCTCTGGAAGCTCTTTGTTCAGCATCCTGGGTAACCGCGGGAAGCTCCTCCTCTAGGTGAGGGGCAACTAGCCGGCACCTCCAGCCCCTGGAGGCCTCAGCCACTAGATAGTCCGAGAGCTCAGGGGATCAATCTCTGCACATCTCTCTGGAACCCACCTGCAACCCCCCGGAACTGATGCTGATCATTTCGGAACTTCTTAAAAGTAAAATACTTTTGTAAAGATCACTGATTGCTAAGGCTGACAGTATTTTTGTTTACAGTAGTAATAACATTTGGAATTGCATGATTAAGAGCAATAAGTACTCTTCAGATATGAATTTACCTGTAAGTTCATAATGCCAACAGAATAAGTCATTTTGCAAAAACATACAACTGCTACAGTACCTCTCCCTAAAAACCAGTATTACAATTTTTTCTGTTAAATTCGATGATTTTGACTCATACAATAACAATACCTAGAAAACGTCAGAACTCATTAAATGGGTGCAGATATAAAAGGATCAACAAGACAGAATGCATCTAACTCATGGATCAAAGACACAGATTTAAAAAGAAAAAAGAGTTTGTCATTTTACACATCAGAGGGAATGAGTTGAGTCCATGATAATTTGGGTTGAATGCATGACCCCTGCAGATTAAAATTTATCAGACTGATTTTTTACACCATAAACAGCATAATAAAATAACCCTCAAGAAGGACATTGGTCTTTAAAATCTTGGCTTTAAGGAATGACAAATGCCTTTGAAAATATTTTGTTCAGAATCACTGCAATTATAAAAGTACTTCAGTTAGGAAATCAATCTAGAATCATTCTTAAATGGCAGTGTATTTGAAAAATGGCATTAATTTGTAATGTTTGCATTTCCAAAGAAAAATATAGAAAGAACTTAAAAAAGCAAGGTAACTTTTCAAAAAAAGTATTGATTCAAAAATTTACTGCACAAAAATATGTACTTCTTAAATGTTTCTAATAAATTAACTCCATAACATTTTTATGTATATTTATATATTTATATATATATAATCCCTGATAATCTATAAAAGAGGGTCTATAATAGTAAAATAAATGAACTTCAAAAGTACCCCCTTCATAAAATGTATTTAACATTAATTTTTCTCAAATTTAAGGAATGTAACAATATGTACAACTCTTATGTATAATACCAAAATAGTACAAGTCATATTAACAGCCTGTCATAACTGTAAAATGTTTGAGTCAAGTTAAAATTGGAGGACAGCTTAGGTTCGAATGAATGCAATTATCCATGGGAGGTTCACTTTCCAAGTGGAAATGACAATCATCTTATCTACAGTAGATTTCACAAGAGGTAGTGTTCAAGTAAAAAAAAAAAAAGTACATGCTTAACTATCTTTAATTAACAAATTCACAGGAAAAAAATGTACTGGTTTCTTAGCAGATGATCAGTTGCTGACTTTTTTAATATGAATCTGAAATACAAAATAACAAGAAGTACAATAAAGGCCTTATGCATAAAATCAAAATGTGGTACAAAACAACAGCGTACCATCTAAGCTGTGTCACAGATCACACACGTTGTCTTACCTCATTAAGAATGGCCCAAACGGCAGAATTCTGAATAACTGAAAGTCGAAAGGCTGAAATGGGGTTTAGACTGGGATCCACCATTCCTTCGGCAACACCATTCTCGAATTTCCCTTCAAAAGAAAAATCAACATGTGTTGGGTAGGCTGAAATTGGCACACAAAAATATCACGGACTTAAAGCAGGGAAGAAAAACACCAAAACACTTCCAGTGGAGGTCATCAGACACGGCCTGGGTGAATTTTTCCCCTTCTTTCTACTTTTATTCAACGTTCAAATTTCTCCTGAAGTGTACGCTTACATTAGAAGCAGCCTATTAAAAGAGGCAGAGCTATATACTCCTTCTTACTGCAAATTAAATGTAACATTATATAGAGAGAGATATATATACCTTTATCTATATATGTTCTTGCATCAAAAATATTTTAACATGCACGTTTTTAACAAATGTGATTTAACCAAAGTATATTCTGTAGCATCTCTCAGTCCGACCCTTTGAGGGTTGTCAGTAATAACAAATTTCAGTGCTTTCAGACATACATACAATGGTTTGCCTCGAGCAGGGGCTCAATCTTTATGTATCCTTTCCCATATCACATCTAGAAGGGATTAAGAAGTGATACCTCCTCCAGGGGGTTCTAATAGAAAACTGCCATTACAAATGACAAGCTGAAAAAGCTCTCCTTAAGGATAGGACCAAGAAGTTCTATAAAAAGGTAGCATGTGCTGGGGGGAGGAGCAAGATGGCAGAGGAGTAGGATACTTAAATTTCGTCTGGTCCCAGGAATTCAGCTAGATAGGGATCAAACCATTCTGAACACCAACGAACTCAACAGGAGATCAAAGAAAAGAATAGCAACTCTCTGAGCAGAAAAGCAACCACTTTCTGGAAGGTCTCTTCTGTTTCTTTAGTGTATATTTTTCTGGGGTCATTGTTACCCTGTTAGCATTTTGTTCTCTCACTCATCTATTCTCCTCTGGACAAAATGACAGGACAGAAAAAATCACCTCAAAAAAAGAACAAGAGGCAGTACCAACTGCTAGGGACCTAATCAATATGGACATTAGTAAGATGTTGGAACTAGAGTTCAGAATGACGATTATAAAGATACTAGCTGGGCTTGAAAAAAGCATGGAAGATATTAGAGACACCCTTTCTGGAGAAATAAAAGAACTAAAATCTAACCAAGTTGAAATCAAAAGGGCCATTAATGAGGTGCAATAAAAAATGCAGGCTCTAACTGCTAGGTTAAAGGAGGCAGAAGGGAGAATTGGTGATATAGAAGACCAAATGATAGAAAATAAGCTGAGAAAAAGAGAAACAACTACTGGATCACAAGGGCAGAATTCGAGAGATAAGTGATACCATAAGATGAAACAGTATTAGAATAATTGGGATCTCACAAGAAGAAGAGAGAGAGGGGGGCAGAAGGTATATTGGAGCAAATTATAGCAGAGAACTTCCCCAATTTGGGGAAGGAAACAGGCATCAAA